GGTTTTCTTCTTTTTTTTTTTTTTTTTTTTTTTTGATACCGAGGATTGAACTTGGGCCCTTGTGCTTGCGAAGCAGGCAGTGGAACCACTGAGCCAAATCCCCGGCCCTCATCACTCACTTCTTTAAAAAATCTATTATATTTCAGAATGCTAATCCAAGAGGCTTTATGAAGGTGCTCCAGAAAATAGTAACAGAATAGACTAAGCATGTGTGTGCGTGTACCGTCCTCCAGGAAGCCCAAAGAAAGAGTAAACTGGTTTCCTCAAAGACTTGTGAATTGGAAAGGAGTGGTCGATAGGCTAGGACCAGATTTAGAAAATCTGCAATGCTTTGTTCTGCTGGGAGGTGAACTGGATGGCTAAAGGATAGAAGAAGATATTTTTCACTTCATATTCATCAGTTCTTTAAAAATTGTATTAGTCATTTTTCCATTCCCATGACGAAACATCTACAGGATACTTGACACACAGAACTTGAAGAAGAGGCTCAGTTCAGTGTGGGGCTTCAGGTTTTAGTCCATAGTTGATTAGTTGTCTCCAAAGCAGTAAGGACCAGATGTGGAAGGACGTGACAAGAGGAAAGCTGCTCCACACACAGCAGTTAGAAAGCAGAAAGCAACATAGCCAGAGCAAGTTATACCCTCCAAAGGTACACCGTCCTTGACCTACTTCCTTCAATTGGGCCCTACCTCCTAATACCCATTCAGCTGTGAACTCATCATTGGATGAGGTTAGCAACCTCATCATCCAATCACATTCTGAGAGCCCCACTTCTCAACACATGAGACTAAACAAATGAGGACATCCTAGACCTAACAAAAATTCTGCACCTACCAAAAATAGGATGGAGATGGATGACTACAAAGGATACAAGGACATCATATTTGGATAAGTTGGGTAGAAATGGTGTAAGCCTTGGATGGTAGTAGTGGTGGGACTACAACTTGACAAAGTAGATGAGGGTTAGAAAGTCCTCTAATCTCTTGGGCAGGGAAATGTGGGAAAGCAGTGCGTTAGGGTCAGTGAATATGCAAAATGGCTGACAGCGGAGGCAGAAGGGCTGAGAGTGGAGACAGAGTGGCTACAGGCTGGGAAGTAAAGTGGTTAGGAAAAAGTACAGGCCCCAGATTAGAGTGGGAGGAGCAGTGGAAATGAGAAGAGACAAACAGAATCAATTCAAGTCTTCATCAAAGCAAATCTTACCAGAAACTAGCACTCCCTTCAATAAATGTACTTACTTATATTTTTCATTTGATTTTATTGCTTAGGACTGTATGGAACTTTATCTGTTCCAGATAAATATTTGCAGAGTGTAGTTATTTTAACTTCAAAAAAGCAAAAAGAGTGAAGAATAACTTGCTAGCTCCTGTGTTTTCTGGATAAACTCTCTTTGTCACAATAATGTTTAGATTGGGGAAGAGAAATGTAGTACACAATTCACAACTTTCATTCAACTCTGAAAGCTGTTACCCAACAAAAAAAATGAGTAGTGCACTCATGTATCAGAAAGAGGTTTGGGCTGATCTCACTACAACAATCTGTACTGACTCATACAATCATATAGATCAGGCTGCCCAGTCATCACCTAAGCCACACACCATCAAAATGGACCCCATAAAGTAGCAAAATTCTTATCAATTATATTTGGAAAATGCATGATTGCAAAAAAAAATCCTTGAACAATATTACAATATCTGGATGGCCTGCAATTTTCAGACTACCAGGTAAACACTTATTGTACTGCCTGTGTTGTTTCTCATCTTGCCATCTAGATTAATATCTTATCAACAGGTACCAAATAAAGGTTAATTATTAAAACCTTCTAGTCACAGATGTAGCTCAAAGGAAGGCACTTGAGACTCTGACTTTGATTTCCAATTCTGCAAACAAATAAAACCTTGTAGAACCAGGGAAGCACAAGACAGACTTCATTCTTTAGAGAAATAGTAACTTGATGATTAAAAAAAACTGCTCCAAGGTTTCAAACTTGGGTGACAGGAAAAATGATACTACTAGCAAAAACGAGGCTGGTAAGATGAAGGTATAAGTTTATAGGACAAGATCTGAACCATGTGAACATGGTTTTTAGATACAGAGTGGTGATAACACATCTCAAAGGAACTATATAAAAGAAGATGCCCAATACTTACTTTACCATAAGTCCTATTTAATTCCTAATGAACATATAGGGATGCCAGATGTGGTGGCATGTGTCTGTAGTCCCAGCACTCTGGGAAGTCGAGGCTGGAAGATCACCAAGTTTGAGCCCATCCAGGACAACTTAGCAAAACCCTCTCAAAAAATTTTTTGAAAGGGGCTACACATGTATGTCAGTGCAAAGGCCTTCAGTTTACTCTTCAGTACTGCAAACCACCACTACCACAATAACAAAGCCAGGGGGCCGGGGATGTAGCTCAGCAGTGCAGTGCCTGCCTGGCAAGCGGAGGCCCTGGGTTCGATTACCGGTACCAAAAAAGAAAAGTGAAAAAACAAAAACAAAGCCAGGGATAGCCTATTTTGTGCCCTGCTTCTATTTTATGAACTTTCTCTTCTTTTTTTTTTTTTTTTGTTTACCAGGGATTGAACTTGGGTACTTGCGCTTACAAGGCAGGCCACCGAACCACTGAGCTAAATCCCGGGCCCTATTTTATGAACTTTCATTTCACATTGTCCCAAGCTATATTCAACTGTTGCACTATATATAATCTGGTTTTTATAATGAACAGAGACTCAAAATATAATTTAAAAATCATTTAATTCATAAAGTGAAAAACTAGAATATAAAAGCATTTCACATTTTAAAAACAAATAATACCTTCTAAATTATTTAACATAAGATAAGAGATCCACAATACTTTACCTGAAAGCTCTGGGAGGCAGATGTTTCAGAATTATGAAATTTTTCAGAATGGACCTTGTGCTTGCGAGGCAGGTGGAGACACACTGAGCTAAATCCCTGGCCCTCAGATTTTATTAAGGCAATGTGCATATGCCATACTAATTAACCCTTTAAAAAAGTGGTAGCAGCCCCTCCCCAGTAATCAAACATGTTAATATTTCTGCAGCAAAATAAATGAATATTCACATGAAATGGGATAAACGGTTTGTCAGATTAGATATATAAACAAGTTAATTTTGTCACCAAGCTTATGAAAACCTTGTTTTCAGAATTTCTTAGATTTTGAAATTACAATTACAGATAAAGGAATGCAGATCTTTATACTCTTGTATGGTAAGACACAAAAAAATAAATGATCCCTTTTTACAAATGAAAAAACACATAAGCTTTCAAATACATTATAAATTAAGACATCTTTCTTTTTGATATTATTAAATGTACATCTTAAATACATACACACACACATATAGCATACATGATTTATGACAATCAACTGGAATTGAAGGCTTGGAAATACAATCCCTTCTGTAAGGAGGGGATACTATTATCTGTGACCTAAAATTAAAATAGGGTTAAGTCAACTCCTCATGATGCTAGGAAGAGCACTTGCTGAGTGCAACACAAGGAGGTAGGATTTATTCTTCAAGAAGTACAATTTCACTTGTAAGCAATCTCTTTCATAAAAACACAAGTAGGCAACATTACTTAAAATGAATGTTAGATGACTTTTCTCTGTGTACAATACTATGTTTGGCTTTATGCCTAAAAGTTAAAACTTTAAAGGTATTTTTAGGTAAATAAGTAATGTTTTACCAAGTTTAAAAACATATGGGTCACAATGATGCTCCTAAGTAATTGCGGTGTTTTTTTTTTGGTACCGGGGATTGAACTCAGGACCTTATGCTTAAAAGCAGGTGGCGGAACCACTGAGCTAAATCTGTGGCCGAGTAATTGTAGTATTAAAACAAATATTTAAAGAAGTCCATTGATTTTCATAAAATCCTATCTGGTGGTTAAAATTACTCAAAATCAAGAGTAAAGCCATGCGTAGCATGCGTAGTTTCTGAATATATCCCTTTCTTCCATTGACTGGTATGTGAAGAATTTGCAGCAACAACTTCCACAGGTTGGAGGGTAGTGAACAAATGCCAAGTCATTCAGTTAACCAACTCCAATCAAGATTCTAAAACCAGGTATGAAAAAGTCACAATTAGAAGTTTAATGTAAGTGGTAAATGAATGGATGTTCGTTTTTGTACAGTTGGACATTTTATATCAAGTTGAGCCAGGCATGGTGACGCATGCCTATATTCCCAGCACTTGGGAAGCAGAGGCAGGAGGACTGCTGTAATATCGAGGCCAGCATGAGCTATACATTGAGTTCAAGGCCAGTCTGAAGCACCTAGTGAAACCTCCCTTCCTCCCTCTCTCCCTCCCATACTCTCTCTGTCTTTCTCACACACACAATCTAAAGTTGAAAAACCAAAAATGCATAAATTACAATTAGAAAGTTTAGCTCACTTTATTATCTAACTGCAAAAAGTACTTCAAAGTTTTCATAAAAATTTGAAACAAATAATTATCCTTAGAAAATAAGAATTGACACTGAGGTTAAATGCAGTAATCATTAATTCAGTACACATTTTTAGTTCTCCTAGTTCTAACAAATCAATAGTTCATAGTAATTACAAAGTAACATAAGCACTCTTATTTGTTTGTTTGTGGTTTTTTTTTTTTTTTGGTACTGGGGAGGGATCAAACTTGGGTCCTTGCACTTGCAAGGCAGGCAGTGGAACCACTGAGCTAAATCCCCAATCCCAGCACTCTTTTAAATCACAAACATATTAAGATAATTCATTTTATATGAAGCAGGTACTACATCTGAGTTACTGTGTAAGGTCAATCTAACTGGAGAAAATTGTTGAAGCAAAATGGTACAAATAATTCAATTTCAGTGTTCACATTGCAAAGAAAATTTAATCTGACTGAAAACGGTACTGTTGATGTTTATTGATATACACTATCAACCCTAGTACATCTGAGTAAAAGATGGGGATTTGAGGTTGAGAACATTCTTCAAATGCTCTTTTCTCCAAGTACTCCTATTACCTATACACAGCCAGAATGTCAAATAAAGGTAGCAAAGAAAGCTAACTCTTTTGCACCCAACATACCTAAAACATACACTCATATCCACACAAAGCTTACCATCATGCTATTGTCCTGGTCCTCATTTGCTTCACGTATAATAGTATTTAAATGGCCAAGACAGTTCAAATTTTCTTCTATCATTTGTGCTAAACTCTCCCTGTGGGATAAAAGAACAAAGCCTTTTCAAACTCAGCAAAGAAACATAAATTTCCTCTACCTTCTGGTCTTCTAAATAAGGATGATTACTGTCCTTGCTGCAACCCAGCACCCCAATGTGGCTAACTCCTATAGTGTTCAGGTCCTTCATCCCTCCCACCCAGAGGCAGAGTCCCACTTCATCCACACTGTTGTCTCTGACTATCTCTAATGATAAGTCCACTATAAGATAGGTTACAGTGGTGCACATCTGTAATCTCAGCTACTTGGGAGGCTGAGGCAGAAAGATTGTAATGTTGAGGCCAGCCTGGGCAACTCAGAGACGCTGTTTAAAAATACATAGAGCTGAAAATGAAGCTCAATAGTAAAGCCCTTGCCTAGCATGCATAAGGCTGTGTTCAATCCCCGTATTGGAAGAAAAAAAAAGTCCACTATAACTCTAATCAAACTTTTCTTTAAAGCATAAGTAGCACTTAACATATAACACTTTCCCCCAGAAATATTAAAGGAGGAAAAAATTCTTGTGGCATGGACAGATGAAAAACTACGTTTTGTTTTTGGATTATTTCCTTTTCTCTACAAGTAGAAAAATACCATCACACTTAAGTCACATACACAAGTATAGAGAAGAAGATTGAAAAGTACAACCTGTTCTGCAAAGATCAGGAAGGATTAAAAACTCTGGTTGAGAACAATAGATGACAGCAATGACAAGAAAAATAAGCAAGCTGGTTCTTAATGGCAGCGTCAGAAAACAGTGTGACAGGGTAGCTGACCAGAACTATCCATGGAAGTTTATTTTTAAAGAAGATCCTGATTCTGGTTTCCACCTTCATGCTTTCTCCTTCCATATGGCCTCTATACTCACCATTTACCAACCCTCAGTGCCTCCTCTATCAAAGTCAGTTTTGGCATGGTAGCCACTATGAGCTTAGTATGAAATGCTGATTTAGCTCTTATTTAACAGATGGAAATACTTAGGCTAACAGTTTCTAACCCTTTGTAGTTAAGTACCATAGGTACATTATAATTGAAAGTAATTTTCCTTTATAATGTACTCCTACCTGAAAATAAAATATTGATCAGATGCCCTTTGGCCAACAGCCACAACCTCAAATTAGAAATTACCTATATATGTACCACTTGCAACCATTAATGTCCTCTAAAAAACCTAAATGACTTTACTAAAAGCAAATGGTTGAAAATGTATTAAACTTTATTTCTCTTAACTTTGATCACAGAATATTTGCTTAACACTATAATCTGTATTATATTTGTAGATGTTTTACTTTAGGCCAAGTCTATAATGATTCCAAGACAGACCCTGAACTTGCTTTCTTTAAAAAAATCAAATACCTGATATCAGCTTGCCTTCCTGCCATGTGCTTTTTCTCTCATAAAAGTAGCGTACAGAATGTGCAATTGCATGACCTCCTGAGCAGTGATGTAACATGGCTGCACTTCTGCAAAACTAATTATGGGAAGAACTTCGAGGAAATGCTGGTGCTGTAGAGGTCTCCATGAGTTGTGAGAAAAGTGACAATACACAAGCTAGCAAAGAGCCACTGGCTCTGGATACGGCACATCTTATGCTGAGAAAATAATAGACATGGATAGTCATTCAGCTTTTAGCAGAAGAGCGGGAACTAACAAAAGAAAATACAGGACTTTAAACTTGAATTATTTGCAAAGTTGATTTAAGTCATTGAAAAAAAGCCTAATTTTAAAATACTAAGTTATACAGTAAATTTGATCTCAATAATTTATTAAAAGGGCAGTCAAGGACCCCAAAATGATAAATGCAAAAAGATAGCATAATTTCTCATAGAGATATAGCAAAGGGAGGAATAAAGTTTGGGTAAAAGAAATTGAGACAAAATAACAGAAAAGTCTTAGAACTTGGACTAAACAATTATAGGTAATTTTTGTTGAATATTTACCTTTTAAGAATGTTACACACATTGTCTAATAAAATTTTCACAGCCATTCTATAAGAAATTTATTTCTCATTTTACAGGTAAGAAAATATGGACATTAAAAAAGTCAAGCACACTGTCCAAAAGTATTAGGAAGGGACAGTTGAGACTCAACCTTAGTCTGAAGGCACTGAAGACCTCCTTTGCTATATTCTACTGCTTCATTCCTACCACTATTCTGAAAACACAACATCTACTGTTACAAAGGAACCCACCCATCTTGAGTTACCACGCATGACAAAGAATGTTCACGCTGTGCTAAAGTTGGAGGCAGGCACGCTGATGCCTGAGGAGTTACTGCACCTTCTAGACTGGAACCTACAAGGGACCTGGCAGAACTCTGTGTCTGAAAGAAAAAGGAAAAGAAAATCAAAAGATTATAGGAAAGCACCTCTATTGATTCACATAATTTACCATACTCCTAAGATTTACATTTCATCACTACTTTATTATATAGAGTATTTCTGTACAAAACTATTCCCACCTTTATACACCATTTCTAACTATACTGTCCTTGGTTTTTAGCTTCATTAACTAAAAGTGAATGTATTTACTTCTCTTAAAACCACTTTAATTGGAAGGGAAAGAAAAAACCCAGATGAACATAGAGCTTCTTACGCTAACTAGTTAGCCATATCTCTCTCCATGTTGGGTAGATATGTCATACTGGTCCAGTATCAGGAGAACTATAAAAATAAAGTAACTGGAAAGGAGAGTGATAGTGCAAAAGCCCTGAATCTCCATTGGTAGTCAGATGCAGAGCAAAGAATATGAGCATCAACCTAATATAAAATATACATCTTTAAAGAGACAGCTCATGCTGATAAAAACCCTTTTGCAGATAACAGTAGCAAGTCAATATCATATTAAATAATTTGTTAGTAAATACTTACGCAGGCAATTTTAAGGAGATGCCAAATTTCTTTCTGCCTCTTTCCCTGCATGAACATGACAGTATTGTCAGCTTCTTTGATGTTACTGAGGGCCACTTCTACCTTGGGGAGTAGGTCAATAATCTTCTGTTTACAGCCCAAAAGCTTGCTGGAAAGATTAAATCAGCATCAGATAATTGTTATAACCCTCAAATACTATACACCATACTCCCAAAACCCAGTTAGGGAAATGAACTACAATCAGCATTATATTTAATAACTGATCTCCAAAGCAGTACAGGCAAACAGGTAATATAAATACAGGCACTGTGCATGTAGTTTTGGCCAAGCTACTCGAGATAACAGCCAGAATTCTTGGGTCTAGGATACTCATCAAAAAGAGGTGGCATTTTGAAAAAAAAAACAAGGAGAAAATAAAACAATTTTTCTACCTTAGATGGCCAAACAACTCCTTGAGAACACGATCCTGACTCTGAACAGTATGCACAATGATCTTCACCATCTCTGTGCTGTCACTGTAGGAGTGATCTGTAAAAGATTTTAATCAGTGAGTACAACCTTTCTCTTGCAGAAAGTATCAATCTCCAAGCAAAACATATTTCTCAAAAACTCAAAAGTCTGAAAGAAGGCTAACAAACATTTCTATTTAAATAAAAATTGGATTAAAATTTCAAGATTACTTATAAATAAATTCTAAAGTCTAGGGATATAGCTCAATGGTTAATTATATATAAAAAAGTTATGTGCATTTGTGTGTATACAATGTGCATATATAGATGTACAAGTGTGATCAAAATATACGGTGAATATTTAAAATTTTTAAATGTATTACAGTAAAAGACAAATTACTATTAATGCCTCTCAAAATACTCCCCCTTGCTTCCAGCACACTTATTCCATCAGCCTGGAAGTTCTGTTTGGTGAATGCCTTCAGGAGGTAAGATAAAAAACATGATGAATGTTCTGGCTCAGTGCTATCCAACAGAAAGACAGGCTTGTAAAAGCATGGCGTGTCCTCATTCTTATTCACCATATCTGGCACTGTGTTACTTTCCGTTCTTCCACAAAGTCCAAAAGCCCACGAAAGGTAAGTGTTCTGAACTGATTTAGGACCTCAAGGAACTGATTTAGAACCTCAAGTGAAAGATTTGAAAGAGAACTTCCAGAACTGCTTCAGAAAATGGTAAGAATGATGGGATAAGTGTGATTGAAGCAAGAGGGAGTATTTTGAGGTCGATTAATGGCAACGTTTTTTTTTTTACTGTAATCATATCTTATATCTAAACACCATATTTTTCAGTCACACACTGTGTATGTGTACATAGGGATGTGTAAATAGACACATATATGTATGTATATGTAATAAACACACACATACATCAGCGTATTTTCAGAGACATTAGTTGCCTGTATTTAGAACAGCAGTTTTGGCTGGCTTTATTACTAATCTATTCCCATGCCCATATGCAGCCTCTGGCCAAGATACCAATTTTTCTCATATGATTAACATCACTTATTTAGAAACAGTAGGATAATCTATCAAACTTTCACTGCTTTAGGAAGATCAACATAAGTTTGAGGCCAACCTGGGCTACATACTGAGTTCAAAGCCATCCTGTATTATACAACAAGACCTTGTCTCAAAAGAAATAATAAAATAAAATAAATAAAAAACAACAAAAGACAACTTTCACTGCCTTAAGGTAGGAGGCATTTGTCCAAGCTAGGATGTATGACACTTTATGTATATCCTTCTGTTTATGGCCCACAAATTTTTGAAAAAAGTTGATTCAAACCAAATCTGATGTACTAATAAAGGAAACTGTAGACATCTTAAGTTTGTCCTAAAGCCAAATGGAAGGTGACAGATGTCCTCAAATGGGTTGGTTACTGGTCACAGTGAGCCCTACAATTACAAGAGATGCTATCTCAACTTTTAACAATCACCAGCTTTATTATATTTCAGAAAATTCTTCATACATCATGTTGGCAATTTCCTTGGACAATAAATAAGCCTGAGTGCAAAAATAATTTTGGAACTAATAGTTACTACTGGGTTTTAATTTCCCCATTTAACCTTCATAGCAGTCCTGTGAATGGCTTTTACTACTCCTACTTTAAAAAAATGTTTCCTTCATTATCAGTTCAAAGACCACCTCCATAGCCCAACTGTATTCCTTACATATCTCTCTGGCTCTCCCTTAACAACAACCAGGTACAAGAATCCAAAACCACTCTTCTTCAAACAGCACTTTCCTAAATCCCACAGGCCAAAGTGAAGTTTCTCATGTAACTAGCTGGTAGATGGTCAAAGATCTCAGAACTTTAGCCTTGTCCAACAGAGAATGAAGAAAAGTTGGTTTTCATATTTTCAATTGAACAAGAATCCCAAGTCAACTGTGAGCTACAGGATACCAGAGACTGTAAATCAAGGGTTATTATATAAGAACCAGTGATACATAAAACACAACCCATGAGTATACATCTTTGTAATATTCTATGTGATAAATAATGCATTTTAACTATATAACAAAGTATGATAGATGTCCCAAGGAAAACCATGTTAGTAATTACATACTGCTAGCTGTCTGGCCTCTTCTTTCATGGAACCCAATTTTGACTGTCAGCCAAACTATGGTTATTCAGATTTGGTTATGTAGCGTGCATTTCTTTAGAAAGTAGGTGAAAATAAGAAGTGAAGTATGTTTGTTTCTTTAAGGAAAAAGATTATTGTCAGTGATAAAATTTCATGTTTCAAGCAAAAGTTTGAATTTTAGAAAATTTGTATTCACAGCTGGAATTTGTCAGTTTCTCAATACTTAGACTTTTCTGATGAGGTCAGTGACATTAAAAAGATGTGCCAAAATGTAAAACAATACCAGTCAATACCAGTGTACTCACTAGTTTGTTTTAGAAAATATACACTTAATCAAAATATGTTAATAGGCAATGGATTTATTATTTTTAAATGAATACAAAAATGTCTCAAATTTCCTGTTTTAAATCTTGAGGGTATTTTTTTTTTTTTTGGTACCAGGGATTGAACACAGGACCTTGTGCTTGAGAGGTAGGTGCGGTGCCACTGAACTGAATTCCTGGCCCTTCTGTTTTAATTCTTGAAAAATTCTCCAATATTGTAATAATGTTTTGTGTATAAAGGACTCCTTCAAGAAATTTTGAAAAATGCTTATCTGTTCTTTGCAGGTGAATACCTAAATGGGATTAACCTCAAGGTTAATTTTCTGGGCCGGGGATTTAGCTCAGTGGTTTGGTGGACTGCCTTATAAGGGCAAGGTCCCGAGTTCAATCCCCAGTACCGGGGGGGAATAAAAAAAGGTTAATTTTCAGGTGAAGGACTAGTACATATTTATATATTTATATGCTTCGAGGTCAAAAGCCTCTGAGTGGAAGGCCTTTAAACAAGTTGAGAGCCTGGCTCCAGAGAATATAGGATTAATCATGATGCCACTGATATAGGAGGGGAAATGGGCGTGGATACCAACAGTTTAGTGTTAGCCATCCTGAAGTGTGAAGTGAGGTTAACTTTAATGAAAGAAGTGATAACATCATAGGTCTGAGGAGTATGCTAGAGTTTTAAAACCTTCCACTGTGTACAGTGGAAGATGTTGCTGACCCAGAACATATGTTAAGAATCAAAGCAAAAGTGAAAATCTCTGAATTAGTAATAGCAACAACAGAATGGACAGTGATACAAGTTTTTTACTGGTACTGTAATAGCTTCAACAAAATTGCAATAACTGTTAAGAGTAGACTGTTGGATTGATCTGGAATCAGGATTTTATTGATAGAATAGGCAAAAATGTTGAAGATATCAACCAAATAGTGACTTATGTGGTAGATATTATGATTAGAGTAAAATATTAAAATTTAATTTTAAATAGAAAACAAGTCTAAATATTCTCTTTAATGTTCATGATCCCAAACTTCTAATAAATTTGATATTGCAGATAGATACAAACTATGAGAAAATTATGTTGTTTTTAAGTACCATGTCATGTATATTAATTTGCATATGTATATTAATTCGCTGTTATGTGCTTATAAATTTTACAGTATAAAATACTTTTTAATTTTTTTTTTCTTTTGGTACTGGGGATCGAATTCAGGTCCTTGCTCTTGTGAGGCACGCGCCAAAACCACAGAGCTAAATCCCCAGTCCTTAAAGTATAAAATTTTTAATTTTTTTAACAATTTAAGTAAATCATACTCTACGGCATAAAATTCACTTTTTACTTCCACAACCCTTCAAAACAAAAAAAATTTAAACCAAATAACAGTATCTTGCAGGTATGTAACACCTTATAGTTTTCAAAGCATTTTCACAAACACCCTCTCACACATACTGCTGTAATATATTAATTGAGTTAGGAAAGACAGGTTTCAATATCATCTTCTAGAAAAGACAAATGAGGTACAGGGAAATGTGCCAAGATCAGCTGGTCAGTAAAGTACCGCAGCAAAGTGCCCAATCTACAATTCAAGTCTTCTGAGGTCTTTCCAGTAGTATGCTCTGCGGTTAGCAGATGTTCAACAGGATTCATTTTGCCAGTGATACAAGCCATCAATAACCAGTACATATAGAGGCATCATTTTCAAGGTAAAGTGCCTAAAACATAGGCCTTTCCTCTCACCATTCCACACCTGAACCCACTGCCTCAAATTCATTCCAACTTCCCTAATCTTAAGCATCTTTTTTCCATCTTTCCACACAGATTTCTGCTTCCTCTTCTTTGAGTTCATTTCTCTTCAATTCCTTCTTTTGATTTCCATGTTTAAAATTTTTCTACCCAATTTTGTTATTACTTTCTCCTTCTAATCTCTTAAATGATCACAAAGTTAAAGCTATTACACTTTAGGTGTCTTAATGGTAATACCAAAAAAGGAATTTTAAAACATTTAAAACATTTAAAATTCCCTATACTTGTTCAAATATTGAGTCTCCTAAAATATCTCTAAGAACTGTGACAGAAGTGTCTTACCTGCAGGTCTGTGCTTTAACTGTTTATACAGATCAATGGCATGCTGTTCCCTACAAAAGAAAAACATGTTTCTATGTGAAGGTAATTTAATGACTCTTGAAATAAATAATACCATATGCATTAATGATCCTCATTTTAAAGCAAGTACAAGTTGCCAATCAGTACTTATAGATAATTTCATTGAGTAAAAAGAAAGGATAATACTTGATCTCAAAATGCAAATACAATACAATACCTGCTCTGTTAATCACCACAAATACAATATTCTTGCATCAGTAACATTTAAATAAGCAAAAAGTATGATGATTAAAGAGAAAAATCTGGTTTCTAATATAGACATACAGGAAATTAATCTCATTAGGGCACTTAAGAGACAATCCTGGATCAGAAATACAGTAAAGTTAAGGACATAGTTTGCAATTTGGATATACTTAGAAAATACTTCAAAACACTTGTGAAAAGATGTTTTTCAAAGAACAGACAAAGGTCAACCCAAAGAGTTATTTCCAAAATTTCCTGTAACTAAGAATAGCTTCCTTTTAAAATATGACATGAAGGGCTGGGGCTTTAGCTCAGAGGTTCTGCTGCCTGCCTCCATCAGTGGAAGGATCCAAGTTCGATCCCCAGTACCAAAAATAAAAATAAAATAAAATATGACATGAATATCTTTGGGGAAAGGAAAACTATAGAACAGCACTACACAGAAGCTTCACTTGCTAGATGTAAGGAGAAATAACAATGCTACAAAAAATTATAGACATTAAGACCAACAACATAAATCCTTACAAAGATTCCATCAAGTCTCCCTGGCGTCTTCCATAAGGGCTCTTCTGTAGCTCCATGATTTCAGTGTGCAAAGACATAATCTGATCTTCAAGGTATCCAATGACACCAACCTAAAGAATGATGAAAACAAAAAGAAAATGACAGACTTACCACCACATAATACTAATCAAAACTCAGACTTTAAGCATAGAGAATGGTCTGCTCTGGCATTATGCAAACTAATTCAACATGAAACACTAATATTGTTAAGGCCTTTTTATCTTTTAGATTCTGAGAATCTTTCACACAAGAACATAGTTCTTTCTAAGCTACGTGCTTTTCTCTCCTGACAATGTACTACTAGCTCTGCCTTTTTTTTCCTGGAGAAGTAAAAGACAAAAAACATGATAACCAAAACCAGTGGTGTCACTTGCAATCTCAGCTCCAGGATATCAACTATCCCTATCCATATTCTCAGGGTAAGTAAGTACTGGCAAGGAAAGCAATAATGTAGAATCATTGATAGCAGTACAGGATAAGGGAGGAAACTGCTACCTAAAAATAATCTGTCTATCCCTAGGGATCTCATATATTTTATTATCTATACCAGTATAATTTGAGAGTGAAAGGAAATACTGAAGATACCAGGATAAACTGGGATGTCCTACATAAAACAGGATGTACAAATATCTTAACTAAACCAGCCACAAAAATAAAAGACCCGTATTTATTACTGATTCCTATTTAGTCACCAAAACCCTACTAGAAAAGGTATTGTTCCTTAAAAAGTAATATGGAAATTGAAGTTCAGTGAGGCTGAGTAATTTGTCCAAAGCCCTCATTTTCATCCACTATGATTACTTCTTCTATATATACAAAACAACTACTAAACATTTGTCTGATATTCAGGGATGACGAAATACACATTCTTTTTATATCAAAACCAAAGACACTGGGAAACACCAAGAATTAATAAGCACCCAGAATAAGCTCAGTGATTTTACCTCAGCATAGTGGATAGCCTTTTCTTCCATTTCTTTCCAAGCTTTTAGCATTTTTTCTGAAGCTAAAACAAAAGTCTAAATTGGTTATCTCAGAAAGAGTCATAGCTTAAATTACTAGCCTGCCTAACTCCTGCTGTATCAATATCAAAAATGTTATGGGTTAACTGTGACACCCAACCCCAAATATATGTTCAGATTGTAACGTCTAATACCTTATGATGTCACCTTATTAAAAACTGGGTCCTTACAGGTATAATCAGCTAAATATATACTCACATTGGAGAGGGTGGGCCCTTAATCCATTATGACCCCTTTATCCTTACAAGAAAAGACACAGAAAAAAAAGAAAAAAGACACAGAGACACAGATACACAAGGATAAAGCGTAACGTGACAATAGGGAAACCGACTGAAGTGCTACAGCTGCAAACTAAAGAACATAAAGGACTACTGGCAAACCATCAGAAACTAGGAAAAAGCAAAGAAGGATTTTTCCCTACAGGTTTCAGAGGGATCATATCCTACTAACACCTTGATTTCAGACCTTTGACCTCCAGAGCTGTAAGACAGTAAATTTCAGTGTTTTAAGCACCTAATTTATGGTATTTTGTTATGGACATCCTAGGGAAGCAATATAGGTAGATTTATCTTTAAAAATTCTTTTAAAAAGTAACACATGAATGTGTTTTAAAAGCCAGCCAGGTATTTAGCTCAGTGGTTCCACTGCCTGCCTCGCAAGCACAAGGTCCCAAGTTCAATCCCTGGTACCAAAAAAAAAAAAAGACCCCTTGCAAAAAAAAAAAAAAAAAAAAAAAAAAAAAAAAAGCCAAACACTATGCAAAGATATAAAAAGACTTTTTTCTCCTCTCCTAGAGCCCAAGAGATCTCACTACTATTATTTATTGCTAGACACATACCTTATTCCCTCACAAGTTAGGGAATATATACAGACTTCTCTTTACTTTTTCCACAACTTAAAATATCACTGCTAACCAAAGACCCAAGTGATCTTTTAATACCAGAACACACAGACCTACCTGAATCATTAATAACTGTATAGAACACCCTTGACAAGTCAAAGATATTTTAATGAAATACTTATAATGTTTTGTCATTCAACAGAATGCCTATAATATACAAACAAACAAACATTAATCACAGCACCTATTCTGGAGAGTAAATGTATTCATCTTATGAGACACTTTGGATCAGTTACTCTGAGGGCAAGTGCAGAAAAAGTATTTTTTTTTTCTAAAAAAGTATTAGTTTTATGAAACACATCAGAAATGCTGGTAGTGATTCTTTCAAATTTATTCAAATTTTAACTGTGTTTTTCCCAGTTCCTTAGTATATTTTAATGAAGACAAGCTTGAAGTCAAACAATAAAAATCTGGGAACTGTGCCCAAAAAACAGGAGGTGTCCACAGTACATGGTTTGGAAATAAACAAAACCTTGAAATTATCTGTTATTATTTCCAAAAAGATAAGTAGTTGAATAGTTCCCTAGCTGTGTTAGCCCACTTAAGCTCTACATTAAAAAAAAAAAAAAAAGATCTATAATGGGTGGCATATAAACAATAGAAATTTATTTTACACTGTTCTTAACGCTAGGAAATCCAAGATCAAAGCAATGGCAAATTCACTGTCTGGTGAGGGCTTCCTTTCTGGTTCATACATGGCTGGCTTCATATTGTTTCCTCACATGGTAGAAAGCATGGAGGAATCTCATTTAGGCCTCCGTTACAAGGACACTAATTACACTCATGAGGGCTTCATGTTCATGACTTAATCATTTCCCAATAACCCTACCTTCAAATACCATCATCTTAGGGGTCAGGATTTCAAAATATGAATTTTGGAGGAAAACATTTAATCTATAGCACTGACCAAGAAGCTACTCCAGTATAGATTCATTTCTATTTTTAAAATGAGATTTTAAATTCACCAGTTCTTAAATTACTCTTGTGTAATTTAGCTTTTCAAGAACTAAATAATTTTATTCAATTTTGAAAGTAAGTTATTTAAGAGATAAAAAAAGAGCTAACATTCAAAACTAACATGGCTTATCATGATCTAAGTTATTCTCTCTTGTTCCAAAGTAAAGTAAGAACTGGCTATGTGTCAAGAAGGCAAAACAACAGATGGCTTCAAGACTACAGTCCTAAAAATTATAATACACCCAGAAACTTACATATTCCATAAGTCATCTGCTCACTGTATCTCTCCAGGTCAAGCTGAATGCTTTTGTGAAAAAATTCCAATTTAGCTTTCAGTTGCTGTGATGCTGAGATCAAAGTGTTCTTCATTTTTGTCAAATTAGCGTTGTATCTCAGAAGACTTAACCTACAACACAGCAAAACAAAATTATCAGAACTCAAAAACACTGAATAAAAATTTAAAAATATAAAGTTCCAGAAGCCTAAGTTTCTATTATCAATCTATGAGAAATAGCTCATCTCTAGAATCTGATCTCTACAAACTTCTAGCTGGAGCTATTTTGTGATAAACAATGTTCTTATACTATGACATTTAGGAGCTACTACTGTTAAGCAATGGGTGGATTCAACCATTTAAAGAAACCTATAAGTCTGTTAAGAATATTACATTTCAAACTGGCCCAATATTTTAGCACTACGTGCAATACTGACCAAGGAAAACTGGCAAGAGTATAAAATGAACACAACATTGTGCTTATGAAGAACATAATCCACTTACATTGCTGCTCTTTGTCCCTGGAAGAGCCTACTATAGTCTTCTTTTAGCCCAGACACATAGTGTACTGCTTCAGCCCAAACTTTACGTAGCTGTACAACTGGAAGCTGTATTTTGCTATCTTGTACTACAGGCAAGAAGATGAGTAAAAGGAGCGTTGAGTTACTTTTAAAGACTATGGAGTTCATTTATCATTTTCTGTGATTTGCAGTCCACACAAATAGCATTCCCACAGATGCTAAGAGGAAGTTACTTGTTACCATTTAATTCAGTTCAATATACTGTTTACTGAATACACAAACCGTACTCCAGGTAGAATGGGTCATAAAAATGAATGATAAAATCACTACCCTCACAGAGCTTCTACATCTTTTTTTCTTGCTTCTAAAATGGAATATCTTTTACTATATGTTAATCTAAGTTCTTTACTTTTTAAAACTTCTAAGTCATTCCTATCTTTCCCTCAATCCATCAGTCTTTTCTGTTTCTAAGTAACACACATACCCCCTAGACCACCAACTGAGCTTCAACAAAGCATATAGGATAAATGGCAGTTTTATAAGATATTCCAAACTTTATAATGTTAACTATTCATTATTAGGTCTTCCCATTCTTGACGTGGACATGTGAAAAAGGAAAAGGAATCAATGGAAAGAGCTCTCTAAAGGTAAAGATGAGACAATGTGAACAACAAAGTGATAGAGGATTATAATCCAAAGTATAAAGTAAATAGCCATGAGTCCAAAATAATATAAATAAGTGATTGAATAAGTTAATATATAGGAGAAAAGAGACAAATCTCCTATATAGAAGAATTCCAATTAATTATATAGATACTTTGTCATAAAGGAGGGGAACATAACTCCTCATTCATAACATGTGGTTTCATATAGTGACTTCCTTCCAAAAATAGCATATAAAGGGATGGTAGATTAAACTTTAACATGAACAGACTTGATAAACACTACTTCAGCCAGGTGATCAAGATCAACACCAATAGTCATAAATCTTGGTGATAGTATATACTTTATTTGAGACCAAAATATCACTTTACTGCTGTGATCTTTCTTATTAAAAAACAAAACAAAACAAAGCAAAACAGAGCTGGTTGTGGTGGCGCACTCCTGTAATCCCAGCACTTGGGAGCCTCAGGCAGGAGGATTGCTGTGAGTTCAAGACCAGGTTGGGCTATATAGTGAGTTCCAGGTCAGTCTCAACTACATAGTGAGACCCTGAATCAAAAAAAAAAAAAAAAAAGACAAATTCCAATCAGGGACATGTTGCAGAACAGCCGACCAGTACTCCTCAAAGCTGCCAACATCATCAAATTAAGCAAAGTCTCAGAATCTGTCATAGCCAACAGAAGCTTAAGGAGACATGACAACAAGATGTACTGTGGTATCCTGCACGAGACCTTAGAATAGTAAAAGGACATTAGATTAAAAACTAAGGAAATCTAAATAAGGTATGAATTTAGTTAATAACATGTTCATGAATTAATTGTAATGAATGTACCAGACTAATACATTAATAAAAGGGGAAAGTACATGTATGAGGGAGAGGATACATAAGAACATTACAGTATTTGCTTAGTTTTTCTGTAAATCTAAAACAGTATTTTAAAACTTCTACTAGTGTTTTTTTTTTTTTTTTGGAGTGTCTTGCTATGAAGTTCAGGCTGGGCTTAAACATACTATGTAGCCCAAGCTGTCCTTAAACTCACAGCAATCCTCTTGCCTCAGCCTCCTTAGTGTTAGGATTACAGGTCTATACTACCTCATAATAAAAGAGATAAATAAAGTCAGGGCAGGAGGTAGGGGAGTGACTTTAAAAAGACATGAGAGAACTTTTTTAAGGAAAAAGAGATGTTCTGCATCTTGATTGTGGTATGAATTTTACAGGTATATAAATGTCAAAAATAATCAAATTTAGGCACACATGGTGGCACATGTCTATAATCCCAGCACTCTAGGAAGCTGAGACAGAAGAATTGCAAGTTCAAGCTCAGCCTGGGCAACTTGAAGACTTAGTGAAATCCTGTCTTAAAATAAAAGGTGGGATGGGGATGTACTTCAGTGAGAAGGCCTTGGGTTTTCCCCAGTAGTACCACCACCAAAAGAAAAAACTGTATCATCAAACTATATCATCTGCTATATATATATATCATTTTATTACATGTAAACAATTCGTCAAGAAAAGGTATATATAGCTAAGGTCCAATTTTGTTCTTAATCTTATAATTTTTTGCTCAATTTTAGTTTGGATAGATACGAATTGATCAAAAACTTCTTCAGGGCCAGGGATTTGGCAAAGCGGTTCCACCACTTGCCTTGCAAGCACAAGGACCCGAGTTTGATCCCCGATAGAAGAAAAAAAAAAACAAAAACTTCAAAGGAAAAGAATAATCATCATAGGGCAAAACATTTGAATATCAAGCAATATTCATACATATTTGAGGATGGGGGATAGGGCTCAGGGGTAAAGTGTGCTTGCCCAGCATGTTCAGGGCCCTGGGTTCAACTCCCAGAACCAGAGAGGGGTAAAATAACAACACGGGAATATGAACAACCACACTTACCAATATAATTTACACAATCAGACAAACTTCTGGAAGCAAATGGCCCTTCATATACAGTCTTGCTTTTATCAAACAAATAAACCATATAGCTATCGCAGCCTCTCTGAAAACAAAACAAAACAATTCAAATCCTGCTCAAAGATCCTTGAAAATTCTAGGTTTTCTAAATACTTAAGCACTAGATGTACTATTTTAAAATGCAAATGACCAAAATCAATGTATGTTAACAGACACTGCACAGATATAGGGTCTAAATTTTTGTTGCAGAGCAAAAAACACAAAGGCTAGGTTGAAAAACAAAAATACAATGCTAAATGAAAAAAAAATTAGACATGATGCTACATATTGTAAGATTCCATGTGTGAATGTTCACAAAAGACAAATCTGTAAAGACAGCAAGATCAGTGGTTATATACGGTGGGCAGAAAGGAGAATAACCAATAACAGATAAGAGGGCTCTTCTTGATATGGAAATATTTTTAAACTGATTTAAATTTTTTTTTAAACCCCACAGAACTGTATACTTGAAATAGATAAATTATATATGTGAAATATGCCTCCGTCTCACACAACAAAATAGAAAATGCAAGCCACGACCACGATTGTATCCATACCAGATTATTCTGTGGCAGAACCTATGAGGTTGCTAGTCTAATTTCAAGATTCTAGGCTTCTATTACTGGCAAGGTTGGGCTCAAACTCGAAATTCTCCTGCCTTGGCTTCCCTAAATGCTGAGGGAAGCCAAGGCAGGAGAATTTCGAGTTTGAGCCCAACCTGGACAATTAAGCAACTAAGACCTTTCCGCAAGATAAAAAATTAAAAAAA